GAATCAAATATGTAGAAGCCACATTTAGCGCCTATGCTCCACTTAATCTGTATCAAAATTCCAGAAGACAGCAAAAGTGCTAATGCCTGAGTTCTTTTAACTTTAAGTATCATTTGTTTAGTACTACCTTTGACTGTTAAAATTTTAACTGTTAACTGGGGTATCATTAGTTTAGGCTTGTGATTTGAGCTGTGTAAATAATAAAAAAACTGAGTATTTAGCTTTCAGTGCTTTTCCCAACTCTGCCAGATCTGTAACCTCTGTTTATCACCATTTTGGAAAGTTGAGGCATCTTCTAAGTCCGGGAAAGCTTAGCATATTATACTTGCAGCTGGAAGGCTAATCTCCTATCTAAGATGAAAGCCTCTGGTGCCTGGCTTTGCAAAGTTTTCTTTAAAGTCAAGAAAATTGTCTAGAACAGCCTGCTTTTAAGACATTAGATCTATTTGAATTAAGCAGAGGTTGAAGAATGAAGTCCATTAAGCCCTGTTGTATTTCTTTTCACTGTGTCTACCCTGAGAGAGAAGATGCCGAAGAAATTAGAGTCTGTGAGGTGATGAATTTGTCCCCAAGCACAATTGAAGGCATGATCACGTACCAGTGGGAGGGTCTTATGAGAGGGGATTCTGCAGGAGTTTAGAAAGGAGAATACAGGTGATTGAAAGTGCATTTTCTTCCAACAATGTTTAAAGTTAACCAGCCTCAACATTGGTGCTTAATGCCCAAAATTAGTATCATAGCTCATGGCATCCTAAACCTTTGTACTAAACAAGGGACACACAAATAGTTCAAGCTTTAACACAAATAAAACATAGAAGTTCTAGAAACGATGATGCAACCGATCTGAATCGGTACTTCAAATGTCTTTTAGTTTAGGAAAAGCTTCTCAGTTTTAACAAGTGGCGATTATAAAGAGTAATTGCTTCCCATAAAAAGTGCATTCTTTCTTTTGAACAGTTGTATGAAAAATTGACTGGAGTACATGAAAAATGCATTGCATTTACATAGTAGCACATTTTTTATTCTCTCTTATGTGTCCTTAAAATTCAGAACTGTTTCTGGAAAAACAGAAAACTCTAAATAAATGATGTGATGTAGAACTGCTTTATTCTCCTCTGATGTACAAAGCCATGGTTTGCATTCTTCTCAGGGTTAGCATATGGTCAATTTCTATATTTTAGTATAACATCTGCTATAAAATATCTTTTTTTTTAAATATCTCTGGATTCAAAATTCAGGTTACACATTCTATTTTGAAAGCACTTACTAACGGTACAGACAGAGACTAATTAATCTTCTATAACCTTTTAAAAATCTAAAATCATTCTCTATTTTGTGTTTTTAGCACCATATAGTGATTTACTACTTCTGTAATAGTTTTTTCAGTGTGATTGTCTTTTGAATAAATCATTTAGCACATCACAAACATGTATTCTTTTTTGAAATATTATTTTTCTTAAATATACATGGTGGGAGTATTGATAGCAAGAGATGTGCAAATAATTGTTTGAAATAATGTAATTCCCTATAATTTGGTGTATAATTCCACAAGTCAAAAGAAGTCATTGTTTAAGTACACTTATCCACTCCTATAACACGCGTTTCCTGTTTATTGTTATTCAGTTGGACCCCTTTAAGTCTCCAGCATCACAAAAAACATTCTTTATGATCACCTCTATATGTGCATTTAATGCAACATATACAAAGTTCAGTCTTAGGAGTTTTCTGTTTTTCTTTTTTTTTATTTTCATAGAGAAAATGTATATAAATACAATCTGTAAATGTAACATATGTTCTACATGTTTATGGGCATAGCTGTCATACTGTAAAAAGTAAAAGGTCAATCTATCAATCGTTGGAGCAGTTGTAGGGATTTGTCTCTCAGCATGGACCTGGCAAAACTTCAGGTCCATGTCCTGTCATGCTAATAATATAAGCAAAACATTAATAGGATGATCTGTCAGGCCAAGCTCTGTTTATTTGAAATTTGTGACGTCGGAACCAGTAAGCACAAGAAAACCATTTATTAAAGCAAAAACTGATTTTTGTGGAGTGCAGTAACAGCAGTAACAGAAACAGCAACATTCAGAAAGACAATGTCTAACTGAAACCCATTACTTCACATTCATTGCGAATTTACAAAAGCTGCTTTCATACTAAAAGTTGGCTGCAGGGAGAGATTCAGATGTACGAAACCAAATGTACACGTAAATGCACATTGAATAAATTCTAGAGAACACCGTCTCCGTTATTTGTCAAGTGGTGGCTAAATATAGTACATTTACAAAGGTGAGACTGTTTCATCCTTAGAATCGTAATCAATTCAAGTGTTTGACACATCGAAATAAAAGCCTCATGTTTACTAAAATATACTGTCAAATTCTAGTGTTGTGCAGGGCTCTGCAAATTGTTTTCTTTTTGCTTATGCTGTGTAGAAATTATTGGAGCCAAATATCTTCTGGGGAGAAAGACTTATCATCACAGAGCTCTTATTTCTAACTTTGATGGGTTTGCAGGCACACTGCAGGCAGTCTGTTATCCCTAAGCAAACTTCAGTTTGTCATTTTGGTTACTTGCTTTAAAGATGAATATATGGAGTTGTGAAAGCTTTCCTAGTCTATTCATAAAGTTATATCTTGTGAAAATTGGCAGAATTTAATGTCTAAGGGTTTTTCCTAAAATTATTCAGCAACTTTAACAACTTTTCAGTTGATTATAGATTAAAGTAGACATTATTTTCTTAACCAAAAACAATAAAAAATGTGATTACAAAGCAGCCTGGCATATAGTGCGAACTGGCCAATTGAACCCATCAATGCAAAACACGATGTCCACCCAAGTAACATGGCAGATCTGCAGCTGTATAATTAACTTTTGAAAATGGAGCCTGATAATGGTTATTTTACCTCTGAGGAAGAGGATGTCACCAGAAATGTTGTCTAATTGCAGTAGCTTAGAGACTGAACAAACCGGCACCCTGTGCAGGAATTTAAAGCTCTTTTGGTGCTCTAAATCAGTCTCTAAATCACAGCAGTGGGGTATGACTGCCTCTGATTAAAATTCAAAACATAAGAGTACTGGGATACAGACTGACTGAATTTCTGCTCATGCTTTCATCAGCAGTGTTACTAATGTCAGGCCTCCTTTGATTTTTTTTTTTTTAACTGTTCAGTGGTCAGAATATCTAAACTATATTTTATACAGTGTCTCTGCTCTGCCTAGCAACAAAATTAATATACCTATAATTACACCCCCTCTACACTATAATCGACAAGAGTGTTTGTACGCCTCATCTGGAAGGCGAGCTGCCCAGTACGGCCAAGTCTAGTTTTGCTGTATTATTATGAAGCCTTGCAGAGGTTTTGTAAATCTCAGTTGTCACCAGATAAACATTGCCTTTTACTTGTAAGGGATTTGTCTAGTTTACAGTTAGTTTGTCTCAGTAATGTGTCCTTTAGCTACTAAAAGAAACTTCAAGCTTATTTCTAGCTGTCGAACGTAACAATACTTCAATGCATCTATGCTTAAGTGTTCTTTTTTTATTTTAGCACTTTAAAGCCAAGTGCAATATATTTGATGCATGAGTTTTGGAGACCTCTGAATCATCAGTCTGATATTTTTGTTTTGAAAACCCTGACTTACACAATCAGATACAAGTAGTCAACGTTAAATATGTAAAAGATACAGAAATGCCTAATGTACCAAAATTGATGCAAATAAATGATCTAATTTAGTCTATACAAAATGTATGTTTTTATTTCATTTGTCAGAAGGTACAATGACAACTCTAATTAAAAGAAGTGTAACTTTATTTTAATTATTACATGGTCCAGGTTTTAAAGGGTTAGAATAGAAAGTAGAAACAGTCTCTATTGTTTAATGGGGGGCAGGTTATATGCAAGATTTGGCTCAAACAGTAGACAATTTCACTGCAGATGGTTTTGGATGAGGAGAAACTATTTTCTTAACTGACCTATATTCTAACAACACAATCAAACAAAAAAGGATTTATTTTTTTTTACGCTCAGTGCAATTAGGACTGTTTGGACTCCTTTATTTGTCCTGACTTCAAGGATCTTAGTTGACTCTAGCCAGTCACAACCACAGCCAAGAGACAGATTAAAATAAATCTTTCTTTAATTAGAAAAGCAGGGAGTTAACAGACAGGAGACTGGAATCAGGGGGAAACTGTTCACAATGTCTAACTCTGCAGAAGAGATGAATGATAAGTTTGGTGGAAGGATAAGTTGAATTTTCAAAGACATTGTTAGGGTTACCTCAGATGACTGGGTAAGAAATTCAGGAATGAGCTAGGTCTGCCGTTTTATTGAGCGGCACCTTGCAGTTGGTGCAGAACTGGTGATGGTTGACTATGTTGGTGGATGGAGGATGGACATTCTTTGGATGGGAGCTTAAGAGGTTTAGGTAAGCTTGGTTTCTTGAGGGCTAAACAGACTTTGAGACTTTGGAAGAAAGGGAACTATAGTTTAATTCAGAGTTCAACAGGAAAAAAAGAGAACTAGGAGTCTGGTTCAATACCATGGAGGAGTTCATTTGCTTAACAATAACCAACTGGTGCCTTGCTCCGGAATACAGCCCTCTTAAGAAAGCCAGCATTCAACAAGCTCCAGATCAGGCCAATTACCTGTAGGAACAGGACAAACAAGCACTCTACCACACCAGCAAAGAGAAAAAAAAAATGAAAAAAAAAAAGCAGATGGTTTGAATTAAGGGGGAAGGAAGCTATCTTGGAGCAGCATGGTGGTGCAGTTTGTAGCACTCTTACCTGGCAGCAAGAATGTTCTGGATTTGATTCCCAGCACAGGTTCTTTGAGCATGTTTTCCTTGTGTACAAGTGGGTTCTCTCGTGGTACTCTGGCTTCCTCCCACAGTCCAAAAACCTGACTCTTTGATTAGTTGACTTCTTCAAATTGTCCTTAGGTGTGACTGTGTCTGCATCGTTGTATGTCTCTGTGTGTCTCCTCGTTGCCCTGTGACAGACTGGTGATCTGTCTGGAGTGTACACTGCCTCCTACCCATAGACTGCTGGAGAAAGGCACTGGCTCAACCACAACCCTGATGGAATAAGAGGGAGAAGTTGGATGGTAGCCATTGCTGTTAGAAGGGAAAAGCCATCACTGAACAGAGGGGTTTAACTTCCTACAATTCAGCCATGAAACGCATTCCAAAGAATTTACATAAGCACACTCATCATAATTCAAATGACCTAACACATAGCCCATATGCAAAAAATGTGCAGGGACCTCAATGCTTCATAAAAAAGAAAAATCTGCACTTTAAAGATTGCTCAAATGCGAGCTGGCAGAAATTACAGAAAAACCTGGTTAGGTACTGAAATGTCCTAAGAAAAACAAAACAAAAAAAAACTGCAGTTTAGGCCTGTTTTGTGGTTTTTAAATCATTCATTTTGTGCTCACAGAAACCCCATAGGCCCCCTCAATGGTCTGGCTGCTGTCTACTTACATGTGCTATCTTTTGCAGGACTAATGACTAATGATCAATGACTATCTTGTGTTCTCTTCCCTCAACTGTAGGTTGTTCCTTTCCTTAAATTTAAGATTGAAAATGAAAATTTACTGAGAGAGAAGCTACTTTTTTGTATTTAATGAAAACTTGCTCTTCCTGTCTAGTTTTACATCATTGTAGCATAACCATGTTTTTACAATTTACAATTTTAGTGTTTTTCATAAGTGCATTATAAAATATGGAATCCACTTTGGTAAGCAATGAAATAGCTATGTGGTTTATTTATTTTTTATTAATTACATAGGTTTGTTTTCTGGTTCTAAAGTATTATATGTTCCTTAATACTCTTTATTAAATGAGCAGTATAAACAGGCGGCACTTGTTTTAACTCCAGGGGTTATGATGCTGATTTAACAGGGACACTGAAGGGATCCTAGTACATCCTAAGTGAGTATGTTTCTTAACACATAAATTATGGTTCCAAATTAATCTCCTTCCTGCTTAAGGTCTTTGTTGACATTTTAAGTGTCAGGTCAGGGACATTTTAAAGAGCTTTAAAGCTTTGCTTGAATTGCAGCCTTTAATATGGTCAGAGCTCACTCAGAGAGGTATTTAAATTCATTCACATGTGATTGGGTCTTAATGATTGGTACCTTAGGATCAGAAAAGCTAATTGTTTTTTTCTCTGAAAAAAAGTTGTGAACCTGTTTGGTAATGACTGAGGCACACAGACAAAAAAAAAAAAAAAACCTTGCAACTTAGCATTTTGTTTGTATCAACATACCCAGAACATCAGTTTTCTTAGTGCTGAACATTTTTAACCACATTCTGGTCACATTGCTGGATCAGTGGCATAAATTAGCACAGCCAGCTGCTGAACAATCAAGCAGCAAGAACTCCTGAGTGCTACAACCAGTAACACCTGCAGGGCTGCCAACATCTATTGTCATTGCCAGCAAGAAAGAAATGGGAATAGTAATAAGAACTGTGCTGATGTTGTTAAGATTTCAATGGTTTTTACAGAGTCAGTCAGCAGCAGCCAAGACAGAATAAAAGTATTTTTATCATGAAGTGGTTGGTTTAGATGCTTTTACAGTTTTAACAGAATACATAAAAATTCTTTGATTAACTGCTCAGTCAGTGTGTGTGTTTCACAAAGAGCTGTGTCTTGTCCATCATTTTAAAAGCACATCTAACAATGGTTTAAGCTTTCAGTGCCAAGTTTAAATGAGTTTCAGTTTTTTTTTTAGTTTTTTTTAAAATCAGACAATTGGTAATTTATTCAAATTAATTTATGCCAGTGGGGCAACATTGGCTATTGGCTTGTATTTTAAGCAGCAGACTTCAGATTGACTACCATTGCAGATAGCCCTGCTAATTGATCAGAGTAAGAATCTTAAATCACCCTCTGTCAATGTTTAGAATTATATGTTCAATATAATATAATTGCATTTAGTATATTTTTAGGTATTTAGGTATATAGTATATATGAAAAGAATTGGACCATTATTGCACTTTAATAGGGCCACATTGTTATAGAAAAAAACAATCTTTGCAAAAGGTGTTTAAAGTGTTCAAACCTCTTGTCTTCAATTTTCTACTACGTGCTTTAATTTTGTGCAGCAGGGCATTAGGGAAATGCCAAGATTTATCTGTAACATAATTAAACCAAAAAAATAAAGAAATAAGTCATTATTCTATTTTCCAAAAATAATAATGCAGGGTTACTTAATTTTTGCTTTTTGCACTATTTCCAGTTCAAAAGAATTTTTTAGAAGAATAAGAATGAAGATGGGAATTTCTTTCACTACTTATATTTTACTTCTTCTCAGTCCTTTGATTATCATTAGTGATTGATTAAACGTCCAAGAGAAAGTAATTTATTTCCATTTTGACAAGGTTAAATCGAAGCCAATCATTTCCCAAATGGCTCCTTTACGTTATTAATTTCCATGTTATTTTAACTGTCCGCATTTTTTTATTTTAAGACTGCATGACAATTTTAGCCTCTGAATTGTCACTTATTTCCTGTTACATCTGATTTTGAGAACTTTTGATAATTCTACAAGTCACTTATTCAGTTACATAACAGCAGAAAGAGAACGTGTGATTCTGTTTCTGTTAACCTTGCTCCCCCTGGCAGCTTATTTTGCATAGCACTTTACATCATTCAAATTAATGGACCTGAAGATGAGATTTGACTCAGAAAAGCAGCAGACCCATCCATCCGTCCTATTTTGCCCCTGGCTGCATCAAAAAGAGTCGTTTTCTTTATAAAAACTTCATCCCAACTTGCTTCAGTTGCTTTCTCTGCCTGTTATTGTGTCAGCTTGATGATGTGTTCCTGAGCTGAGAAGTTACTGCAAGTCTTTTATCAGTGCAGCCAAGTTGGAGAACTGTTGCAGCTGCAGTGACAAAAGTTATTTGCAATGTCAAATCCCCATAGAGACCATTTACTGTGCCTGTAATAGAGCCATCAAAGCAAACCTAATTTATATATGTTTATCATTTATATACTGTATATATGTTATTTGCTTATTCATTTATACAGATTGATTGCACCAAATCTAAACCATACATACATTGTCTTTCTAATTGGGGTCGGGGTTTCTGGCCAGACAGCCTTATATCCCATATTTTCTCATGCAACCATAAGAAAGGTGCAAAAATATTAGGCAATACACTACAGCTGCACCTGGAAGTAATATATTGTCTTCTGTCCATCCTATAATTTATCAGCAGTATACCTGTGTAGCTACACATGGAAGCCAGCAAGCTGAATGCATTCTCACATGAAAGAGGTACTGTAAGCCTGCATAGATGCATTAGGTAGCCTTCATGTTCTTACTGGAATGCATACACCGTCTATGTTATTTGAAATGCTACTGCATTAATAATGAACCTACAGGTAGATGGAAAGAGGCTATATTGAATGATTGCCCTATGTATTTACACCAGAAAGGGTAACAGTGATTTGTGATATGGGGCTTTGTTTTGCAGGGGTCTTTGTTATTATCTCAAATATGAAAATTTATTTTGGTAAGAGAAAATCTGTGGAGGACTCATTCCTGTAAGAGTATCTAGATGTAAACAGCTGAAAACATATTTTACAAACTCTTAAAAATGTCCTAATGATAGCTGTACCCCAGCTCATTTATTTTGTTATTTAATATTGAATAAAAAAATATTTTCTACTGTCATTATTATAAACATTAAGGCATGTTTGTATTCTCTATGATTTCCCAGTTGGAGAATACAGGAAGACTGAAAACACCTAAGAGGGTGTCCAGTTTAAATGATATTTCATTTATTTCGGACAAATGATTTCCTTATTTAAAGTCTGTAGTGAATGAATATGTATTATCATGTGGTAGATACTTTGTCTTTGATAAGCTGCCAATAGAGAACCCTTAGGAAAAGCATTTAGCTAATTAAGTCAGATCCACCGAATGTCTGCATTTAAAAATTCAAGCTTTTTTCTAAGGGATATATATTTTTCTAGGGTTGTTATCCCTGCAATATTGCTGAAAATATCTTAAGCTCACAAGAGGTATGAGGAGGAGGAGTAGAATGTCTCCTTCTCATCTGCCGCCCCTCTTACCCTTAAGGCGTTATTGTTCCCAGGGAATTGTGCGGAGGTGTCTTGAGCTCCATGATGTTTCCTTTCTCTAGCTGCAGCTTTATTGTTACGGGTTATTCTCTGTCTCTACAAGCAGTTGGCAAAAGCATGTATGACTTGCTGTAGTCCAAACAAAGTCACAGGTTATAGTGTCCTGACTAGGGAGTGCACAGATGGTCAGTGGAGAGAGTCATCTAAAAGTGACCCTATGGAACCTTCTGGACTAGATGAGAATCCATATGTACATCTATAAAGAGACAAGCAATTATTAAAGAAAAGAACAGAATGAAAATGCAGTATATATAAGCTATGCATTACCCCATTTCATATTGCTGGTTTATCAACTCACATAGGAGTGATTGAGTTTTGTTCAGTTACAGGAGGACAGAGTTATGAATCATTAGGTTTTAGCTAAAGTGTCTTGCATCAAGCAGTGTTGCAGCATCACTTTTCACATTAGCAGCATCTTCCAAGTCATCAGACAGTAGACTTACTATATTTCACGTCCAAATGAAAAGGACGCCAACAGAGTTTGCTGGATGGAGGAGAGGGATATCAGGACACAAGCTGGGAGAGCTCCATGAAGCTGCAAAACAGGCTCTTGTATTTTGTGAGTAAAACCGATAAAAGGAAGTATGTGTGCAGCAAGATGGAAAGGACAAATTGAAGATTGGAGATGTAGACACAAAAGGGGATTTGTTTGTCTTACTGCACGTCAACTGTCAGAGATGTCAGCACTGGCCTCAGTGAGCACGACCAACAGCTATCCACTTACCAGCTGCAGGCACAGCCCTTTAATTGGTCTAACAAAGTTACCCACAAGCTGAAACCGTTTCCACCACCAACACAGGATTTCACTGTCAGGGTAAAGATTAAGGTATTCACCAAGTCACATACCATTTTGGATCTTAAGATGATTCCTCACACCCAAGCATTTGAATAGAAATCTAAAAATGTACAAACGCACAGTGTAGACAACGCGGCATGGTGAAATATTTCTAACTCATGAACTGTTCCAAATAATTCTGAATCCTCATTTTGATTCCAA